AAGCACTTTTAGGCAAGGGCTAGAAAATGCCTTTTAGTATGTGAAAGAAGAGCAATAATTGAGAAAGCTTTCTGCACCATCCAAATAGTCTTTCACAGATCCTATAAACCTGACCATGCATGAACTGGAAAGGTGGAAGGGTCAGGTAACATTTGCTTATTGAACTAGTGTCCTCTTCTGAAGTTCCTGCTTATAAGGTCAGTGCAATGGTACTGGTACCAATGCTCATTATATAGTTTTTCTGAACCATGGTGCTAGAGGGAAAAGAAGTCCTTTTAGTTTCGGAAAGGAACATATTAAAAGAAGGGTCAATCCATCAGAACTGTTTAAATGCATAATTGTTCTCGTCTGAGTGTTAAAAAGATTAGGAACATCTAGCAGAAGGTACACTGCATGGTCTGTAATTTCTTATGGTATGAGCTTTCTTCCTAGACCACACAGAACTTGCATGAGGAGGTAGAAGTGCAAAACTGCAAAGCTGGAAGCCAATGATCTGGATGACAACAAATATGAGCAACTCATATGGTGATGCTTGCAGTAACTATGGTGCCAGCTGCTAGCATAAAGAACACATTTTCTTCTTTGGATTCGGGAAAGACTTCAGACCATGTAAAACATTCTACATTTACATTAACTATCAGGTATTGATAACTCTCCAGCTTGTACTGGAGAAAGAATAAGAGGATTGAGAATTTAAAGGTCTTCCTTCTAAGCTGTGTGGTGTTTCATTGCCTGTCAGCGGAACGGAAACAAGCAAGTAAAGAAAAATTTATGGCGAGGGTCTTGATGTTTATGATCTCTTTCATAGACTGGGGTTGCAGGATGGTGAGACCTGACAGATGGGTGCAAAGGAGGAATTTCACTCACAGGTAACAGCCTCGTCATGGTTGTTATAGGATATTAAGGAAGTAGGGTGTTCTTTCACCATCCGGAGAATAAAGTCTGAAAATGATCTAAAATTATCCTGGTATGCTTGGGTTACAGCAGACTCTCGAGAGTGGGTGGAGATCTACTGACTCAGATAGACTGAAGACACTGTCTCTGTTACTGATGAATTGAAGCAACAACTCTGTGACCCTGCAGAAAGTCATGCCTTGCTCCAGTGATGTATTTAAACAAGACTTCGAGCTGAGCTGTGCCAACTGGCACTAATATAGAAGCTGAGCATTAAAGTTCCAGTCACCCTCCAATGCTGCCACTCGCTAACAGGGACTGCGTGGTTGTGTGCAGGGGGAGTATGATCAAAGAAGGGGAATCTGGCTTACTGAGAAAATCATCATGATCTTGTGGGTCCTGGCATAGCCTTGAGAGGTAAGATCTGAAACTTCTTCTGGTGCCAAGATAGTATTGGGCCATTCAAGCAAATAGGATGACAAATACTTGTGGCCAGGTCAAATGCATCTACTGAATTTAACGCTGGCCTTACTGCCCCTTCCTAGAATGGAAATCTGAAAATGGAACTCCATCTCTCCATGCTTCAAACTTAAAAGGAGTAAAGACTTGGCTCTTGTCCCAAAGCACCAGTCTCACCACAGCAACATAAAAACCTGAAGGGAACATCAGACGATGAAAAATGCACATCACAGGTTGTGCACAGATGGAATCTGGATTTCAGATACATCATGTGGTTCCAGAAAAGAAATTTTCCCCGAGGATAAGCCTCCGGTACTGAATGTAGAGGTAGATTCTACATGCTCCAAGGCACAACATGGGATGATATGCTTGCTCTCAGGGAAATGCTGAAATGAGAGAGTCAAAAATAAAGGAGAAAAAATGATGAACTAAGAAAAATACAGGAGACAATGTAAACAAAAAATGGTAAGACTAAAGCCAACAAGCAGGGAGAAAACAGCAGGCACTGCTTTTCTCACCTCACCAGCTGGAAGAAGAGAGCACGCAGAACACATCAGGTCAGATACATGGGCACCAGACACGGGCAGGGGAGAGCAGGGCTTGCGCTCACCCTCTAAACAAGGCTAGTGCAAAAGTTTCCAGTCTTGACTGCTTGAGCTCTACAGTCATGAAGAGCATGAATGTGTATATGGGCAGTCACTACTGAGAAGAGAAGAAACCCAGAAGCCAGTTTCTCTCCGTTCATTAGCATGGACAGAAGGGCAAAGTACTTAGAGTTACGGTCTCATTACTGCAATTTAATTACTTATCCTAAATGTTCTGCAGAACATTTACTTGTACATTGCAAAGTATTACAGTATAGTCACAACTTAGGTTCTCAATTAAGGGAGAACTAGGCAGAAAAGAAGTTGAGTTAATTAGAGCCACTGAAGCTTAATAAATTCCTCTGTGCATGCAGGGAAGAGCTCTCCAACTTTTAGTCCATTTGTGAAGTCACCTTCCCTGTTGGCTGCAGGTTATTAAAGTCCCCATGCAAAATAGAAAATCATTCGATTGATTTGGTTGATATTTTTTAAATGGCAGATATTTTCAATTTCTACAGACAGTCTGGAACAGACTCTTTTTGCCTCAGTCCCATTTTTGGCAGATTGTAAATGTTTTCGTCTCAGAGAACATTTCTGAGTGCTCACCCTTAAGCCACACTTGATCTCTGAAGGCAAAGTGCTTTTATTCTGCATCCCTAAACCAGTGGCTAAGCACAGTCTCCCAGGACTACTTGCAAGTGAGCTGGCTGAAGAAGAGAGGGACCTTCTCACTGGACAATAACGCTGAGGCTCTCTTGTGTATTTTGTCTAGTCTGGCAATAATGTCACTCCTTTTTGTACAGGAAGGATGGAGAGGGGTTCTGGGGATGCTGGGGGAGAAGAATAGAATTCAAATGACTGAGAAAAATTACAGAAAAATTCTGAAATGCGTAAGTTGCCATTTAATAAAGTCAAGTGTAAAGTTTCACACTTGGTATGAATAAACACCAAAGCAAATACAGAATGTGGAACAATTCATCTCCTCAGTAAAAATCATCCCATTCATAATTAGGTGGTGCTCAAACGAATCACCTCCTAAAAGTGCTTGAGTGACTAGCTAAGATATAGCTATGATGTGGCAAGTTAGACCTGGCTTCTACCCTAGACTCTTTACAGTTAAGGGAGAGACAGGCCTCAGTTCAGCTTTCAGGACTGTCCTGTAGACAAACTTGCAGATTCTGATTCACTCTGTTCAGATCAAGCACTGAAGTTTCATGACTTGTAGTGCCTGTGTTAAATGGCTATTTTAGATGGGCAAAATCTAGACCTGTATGAAGCCAGAGAAGATCAAAAGCTTATCCCATTAAAATCAATATTAAATGCAGTTGCACAGGATCCAAACAAAGAGTACGGGTTATTCTAAAAAGGAACAGACTATGCAGATGCCAATCTGCAGAGAAAATGAGTAGCAACTCCTGGAAGCAAATAAAATGTACAGCTGAGATCAGTGAGATCAAAACACATACTGTTTGAGCTCCTTTTGCTGTGGAACTTGGTGGACACTCAGTAGCTGCACCTACTTCTGAAAGTGGCTACACCCCAAGACTTGTGGCAATACAGCATATTTTTATAAGCTACAGTTACATGTGTTTGAAAAAAAAAATCCTACATACAGAACTGATGGAAATGATATTTTCCTAACCACACTTTAAAAGATCCCCCCAAATGGGTGTTCTGTATTACATAGGCTGAACTGGGGGAGGATTTCATTTTAATCTATGGAAAATGTGTATAAAACATAATGACTTTCATAATAATAATAAAAAATGGTCAAACGAATATCTATAGCAATATGGCATCATCTATTTTTCTCTTGACAACAGCCATAGAAATAGTCCTTATTAAATCAGCCATACCATTAATTCTCAGTTTCCTTCTTCTGCCAGTGAAAGCAAAGTTGATGTATATATTTCTACAAAGTATGATTTTATGCAACTTTGTATCATAAGTGACATTTTATATTTCCATGACTTTAGTAGCAGATGCATCACGAATATTTTTGCAATAAAATCTTTTGAAATCCCTAATAAACTAGCAAAGAGATGTTAGGTAGTGCAGGGGAAGAGGATTTACCACCACTAGATGGCATTCATTCCCTGTAATTCTCCTGCAGCAGCTGTAGGCACTGAACAGGGCACTTCCAACCACCGAAACATAATATACCGGCTCATGTGAGAGGCAGCTAGAATCCAAAACCCTCACTTATTTTACTATCATCTAACAAAATGCTCCTTTCAAACCATTATTTTTTGCATCATTTAAGGAAGAGCTCACACCTAGAATGTGTCACTATGCCAACACATTCTCCACATCAAAGCAGGAGCATTTTTTAATCATTTTGCACAAAATGCAGTACTGGTATCAGTACCACCCCGTGCAAGCCAGTCACTCTGGCCCGAGTCTTGCCTTAAGATAATAGCATGCATCCATTAATAACTGAGGGAAGAACTTGACCTTCCTTCCCAGGTCAATAGCATCTGCATTTTACTGTTCTTCAGATCCATAAATACTCTGCTAAGGTAATATAACTCTCAGTTTAAATATGTGTAATAATAATTTTAAAACATTTTATGGCTAGAAATACATGGACTGTGCTATGTGGAGAACATAAAGTAATCCTGGATTCAAAGGAGCAGATTTTTTTTTCTCTCAAACAAAACAGAGCCTTTCCCCCATGAAGGTACAGACTGAGGGTATCTTGGTAATTCAGCAACACTGGGCTGCTCTGCTAGCCCCTGGACCAGGGGCATGCCAGGTTTACAGGCATGGAGGTGTTGCAATGAGGGGCTATACACGAGGGCTGGGACCTTCTGGCCAGGGACCTGTCACCAGTGGGACAAGGGTGGCTCATAGCGCCAATGCGCGGGCTGGTACCACAGGAGCTTTATTGGTAGGTGAACAGAGCATGCAAGAGGACATACAAACATAAGCCCATGAAGAAAAACAAAAGAAAAAAAGCAGATAATCTCATTTCCATCGAGAAAATAAATGGAAGGCAATGCACAGATCTCCCTTCTGGAGATCTGGTAATGTGTTTACAGTGACATTAAAAGCAGGTATTACCTGTTCTAAAAGATTCTGAAGCCTTTCTATTTCACAGTCTATTACAAATTTCTTTTCTTGTCTTCGGTCCAGGTCTTCTAAAAGCCGCCTGTAGCTAGCATCATTAAAATTCTCCACACAGATGGCACTGACTTGCCAGCTATTTTGTCCCGCTTTCTCCATAATAGCTTGAAGTATTGAATAACCTAAAAAAAAAAAAAAAAAGAAAGGATATAATACACTAGTAACGCAGTCATTGCATTTTATGAATAGGAATTGTTCTTAATCAATATTATGTCTCTTAACACTTGCTGTGCAGGAGGGGAATAAGAGAGAGTCTCTAGCCTTACCTGTGTTACTAGCTGTGATCAGCACACAGTATTTTAATTAATGAAGATTACAGTTGTTATTATCAGAATCTTTGGAATGATACTTATCATTATGAATAAATGAATATTATAGACATGAACTCCTCCATTCAACCAATCAGCTCTTGGATTAATTTTGCCTCTGTCCATAGGAAGCAGAGATTTCTATACCCAGGCATTTCTCATGACACAGCTAGGAAAAAATCTGAGTCAACTCATTCGCCCTAGGTATTTATATACTAGAAAAATAGTATGTTAGACCTTCAGGTGCTTTGCATTTTGTTTTTATTTTTTTCATAGCACTTAATCAAAGCAGCTCTTAATGCTTTTTAACTAGATTTTTTTTTTCATGGATTTTTATCTTTCTATATAGACATACAGATATGTCAGTACAGATGAACAAAAATTATAGATGAATAGAAATTATATTAACCTAGTTCAGATATTCTATACAGCTTTAATTAACATATGCAAAGTGATGAGAGGTCAATGAATGAAGGGCACTATAGAAGCATTAATCATTACTATTGGCCACAATTTTACTATTTCAGTGCCCCTTTTGTCATCTTTGAGCCCATCCACAGAGGAAAAGGCAGCATCTTCTCTAACGTTTCCATCTGAAAGCGCAGGGCTGGCTGCTCTCTCTTCAGTCCCAGGGTGCCCTGGCCTATGAGCCCTTCAGCTTGTTCCCGTTCTCATTCATTCTAACTGGGGGTGGGCAGTATATTTTTGAGAAGGGAAGAATTTGTGACTTATCAGAGGACAGCTTGCTCTTATAGGGTAAGAGAATTGACTTGCCCAGCCAGTTCCTGAAATAGGGGCTATTTACTTTTCCATCTTTTACTTAGAGTAAGCAGTGAATTTGTTGAAAATAATGATGATCTCACAGCTCACATCCAGAACTACTGTTCAAGAAAGACTGAAGTGTTTCTAGATAACCTGGTGATACAAGGGACATCATAGTGCAGAGATGGTCCCCATCCCCCCTCCAATATATCTTGGTTTATTACTTGTTATCTAGCAGAACTTTTCAGAATAGCTTTAAATGAAAGATTTCACCTCTTGAAAACTACCCCGTAATGATATGGATTCATAGTGGTGGTGCCCTTCTCCCCTCAAGAAGGTCCCATGCCAGAGGTGTAGTGATCCCTAGCTGTTATTTTAATGTCCTTGAAGATCCCACTGTGGGACGGATTCCACATAAAAAGCACTATCTGAGATCCCCATAAATTGCAAGAGGAGCGTGTACAAGATACATTTCAGAAATGGAAAGAGTATTTCTAAGTAAGTGTGCTGTTGCCGATTAATAAAATATCAGAACAGCTACAAAACTACCAATAATGGATTTGCCTCCAATGACATAAAAGCAGATGATCGTTTCCTCAGAATGTGAAGATTACAGGACACATCAGAAACTAAATCAATTGCAAATAGTAGTTATTAGCTCCTATGACCTACGCAATCCTTCTATTGCTAACTTAAAATCTGTTTCTTCTTTCCATTATGGCACTAAACACTCATACTCTGAAATGAACATTTATTAGTTTTTTTCTGAAATTCAGATGACACATGTAAAATAAAAACACGAACATTTATACAGAATATATAAAATGCATATTATATTTTATCCTATAAATGAGATATTCATTTTATGAAACTGCATTTTATCTCAGGAAATGAACTCAAATGCTTGGTGTATTGACTGCTGAAACATTTCCGTACTCAGCATACATTTTTAACCTGATGTCTGTTATTTTTTTCAAAGAACCATACAGCTTTCCTGTTAATTGCTGCATAATTATTCTGCTTTTCCTGTTGCTATATTCAATCTCTTTTTTGCCTGTAATTATCTCTGCAAATCATGACTAGATTCTTTCCCAAACATTGTATTTCTTGCTTTGTTTCCTATTCATCTCCATATATAGATTTACATTAAAACTACTCCAGCGTTATATGTGTTCCTGCTTCATTTACACTGTAACTTTGACTTGATCTTTGCTACAAAGACAGTCAACATTTACTTAATTCAGCTTCCTGACACAAATTAGCATTTTCTTTGATTCCGAATGAATGGTGTTTGAAACAGCAATTGACATCTCCTTACTCCTTTCTTATTTAGTTTGGACAACTTTACTAAGATGTGTTTTGATCAAATCAGGAATTTATACAGCCTAAAGCATGACAAATATCAGACAAACACACAGAAAAGCTTTTCTTCTACCTTGGATCAAGGTTTAACTTGCCATATTTCATTAGCAGCTGCCTTCATTTAGGCGTTTCAGGCTTCTATAACTTCTTATCAGTAGTTGGCACTCAGGCATGTATTTTTGTGTTAGGATGTCTTTCACATATAGCATAATACAGCTAAACTGTAGTCAACTGGATACTGTGCAACATCTCCATCAGAGGACCTTCTTTAACGCAGAGTTCAGAACCCCTCTGCCTGTAATCGTTGGCATATTCATGTACTCTGTGTTTAGGAACAATTTTTAATATCATAGACTGACAAGGGTGGATGGAGTTTAAGTCAAATAAATGACAGCATTCACAGGCTCAGTTGGCATAAAACTCAGGCATGCTGAGGAGTATGCACATTTGTGCAAAACAGTCCACTACAGCTATTAGGAAAAAAAAAAAAAAGAGTTGTATATAGTGCTGCAAACATAAGCCCAAATAACCCTGAAACTAACATGGGGTACCAACAAAGAAACTGAGCACAGTGTCTCCATTTAGACAGAACTCTCAAACTTCAAAAAGATGTTTGCCCAAGTAAATACAGCAGAGGTGAATCTTACAGTTGTCATCTAAAGGTATTTCTTTTCTGGTTATTTGATTTGAGATGCAACTTTCCTGTGTATCCTCAGTTATGCTACTACATAGATGAATCACAGAATAGTTGGGGTGGGAAGGCACCTCTGGAGATCATCTGCTCCAGGCGCCCTGCTCAAGCAGGGTCAGCTAGAGCAAGCTGCCCAGGACCCTGCCCAGTCGGGTTTTGAATATCTCTAAGGATGGAGACTCCACAACTTCTCCAAGCAAGATGCTTCACTTTGTGGAGATTTCATGATATGGATACACTACATCCCATGTATTGTGAAATATTATTTGTTGCATAAAGGAAACTAAAAAAGTAAGGCTAAATCACATCAGCTGAGCTACACAATCCGTATGTTTTTCATTTTCCAAAATACGATTTTATTCTGATTTTATTATTTGCATTTATGGAAAGGTTCTGGACCATACCAATAAGTAAAAGTAGGGAAGCTCTAAGAAGCATACACAATAAACCTTCCTCACCAACTAATTCAACCTTGAAATGCAGATAAAAGATTCAGCAGAAAATATAAAGTACTGGGCCCATACATAACTGGTTGAAACCTGTGGTGTGTGTTAATGAACTAGAAGTCCTTTCAGTATATTTTTTAAATTAGCAAATCCATGAACAAGACATAGTGCCAATAGAATTGCCTGAAAATGCACATAAAGCCTTTCATAAATGCAAGAATGTTATTTGTAGGAATGGATTCTTTTTCTTTTTTTATAAGACTATGCAGTTCTGTGGAATTTTCCACTAATGATATGGAATAAAATGTCTGCCAATTGCTTTTTTTGGGTCATTGCTCAAATGTAGATACTATTGACAACTGTTTAGTGACCAGTAATAGCAATTCCACTTCAATACTCTGGAACCAAAGCTGGGATAGGAAACATCTGCAAAGATTTTATTTTCTTGCTTCCTTCTCACTTTGCTTTTCCTTTTTCTGGTGAGGTGGAATTGTGGTGATCTAAGAGACTGCTGTTTTTTTCCCAAAGAGATATCACAAAATCATCAGGGTGGAAGAGGAGGGGAGTATGAAAATAACGATGCATTTTCTTCTTTTCCTGCAAAAATAGAGCTGAACTTGCCCTTTCCTGGAACATCCACAAGTGTATCCACCTATTCTTCTTGATACTACAACTAAACACCTTATAAAAAAAAAAAAAACTCAGTTTTTTTTTACCCCTGTTTCTCTCACTTCATGCTGGACAGGCATTTTTTCCATCACAAAATGCAGCAAACAATGGCATACATGTATCTGGTATTACATCTGTTTAGAGAGAGATCAGCAGTTCTTCAGAGAGATTTAGATCTGTCTTCTGAAGATCAACGTGTGTAAAGCGCTTGAGAAATTTTAGTGCTTAAGAACAAATGATAAGTCCAGGGTTTTGGGAGCCCAGGATGCTTCCTAAGTCACTGCAACATTGCCAGCTATTCTAAGTCATGGTTGGAGTCCACACACACACACACACACACACACACACACACACACACACACACACAAATACAGCAAGTGGCTGAAATCATGAGTGATCTTTTTGCTTTTAAAGTTTAATGGCTCTTCAGGTCTTTTTATTTATCTTTTTTTGTACCATCTAGGCTTTCCTCTGCTCCGTTCTGCTCTGCTCTGCTCTGCTCTGCTCTCCCCTCCTCTCCCCTTCCCTCTCCTTTCCACTCCTTTCCTCTCTCCTTTCCTCTCCCCTCCTCTCCCCTCCTCTCCTCTCTCTCCTCTCTTCTCCTTGCTTGTTTGCTTTCCCACTCCTCCAAAAGCAGCCAATCATTTCAAGTAGTTTTGCCACGAGACAGCTATCAAAGTGGCTGCTTGTTCCAAACCTCCAGTAATAATTCAAATTTTGGAACAACTGTGCAGGAATAAACTTATTATTAAGTTTACATGATGCACAGGGTGAAATATTTTTTGTATTATTACTTTGTTCTATTCTGAATATCAACTTGGCATTATGGACTGCCACAAGTGGACAGGTTAATATACTTGGAAAAAGCATATGCAATATATTTG